CTCCCTCCCTCCCTGTGTCGCGTGTCGCTGTAGTCGCCGCAGTCTGGACCCGTTCACCGCCAGGTCATCAAGGGTTGCGATCAAGACAATTTTGTGCTCAGGTACAAAGTCGTCCCTTTGTGGTGGGATCATCTAAATAGTACGGATACAACCTCTCTTAGCGCCTGATGGGTAGACAACAACTTGGCTGTCGTGCATGCGTGTACCGCGGGTTGGCCTACCCTGAGTCTTGCAGGCGCTGAGCTGCTCTCGTAGTTTGTTTGCAGAATGTGTCTGAGATATGCGGACGCAAAATGATTACGTACTTAATGTTATTTAACCGCAAACACGAAGTAAGTGTGGGTCACGGTAGAAACGGTTGCTTGATGTTCATGGACCAAGACACCGATTCAAGAACGCCCCATGTGTTTTTCCCTACCCCCGCGTACTTAAATCGGTGTCCTGGTCCTTGGACATCAAGGAGCTGTTTTTACCGTGGTACACTGTAAAAATTAGTTGTTAAAAAACAGCTCAGTTGTTGACCAACAGCTCAGTTGTTCGAGAACAACAGAAGTTGTTGAAAAACAACTACGTTTGTTGTCAATGCATTGTTAATATTGGACTATTGGGCTCCATTTTGTTTTGCTGACTTTTTTTATTACTGTAACCGGACAACTGTTGCTGTTATTTGACAACCGAAGCTGTTGTACAACAACACGAGTCAGTTAAAAACTTAACAACGAATTTGTTGTTAAGTGACAACAACTTTTTTTACAGTGTATTGGTACAGAACGAGTAAAAAAGAGGAAGGGAAAGATGCCCTAGTGCCTTGGATGTCCCCCTGCTCCATGGGGAGGGGGAGGTGGGAGATGGATCTGCATCTGGGGTGCGCTCGAGGGGAGAGAACGAATAAAAGCCTGTTGCCTGCGTGTTCAGCACCGCTGGCGGGCCCCGGCCAGGCTCCGGCCAGGTAGGGGGAGGTATGGCGCTCCGACCGGATTAACGCCCTTTTCAGCGCACGCCACAACGTGGGAGGAAACGCCTTTACTGGAAGTTAAAGTGTCTTCTTGTTTTGTAACTAAATAATTTGAGAGGTTTATTTAGTGTTATTCTTTATTGTTAGTATTATAAATTGTTCACAAGTGAAAATTTCTGAGAAAACAAATCTCATTATTTGAGAGGGTTCGGTAACATTATTGAGGTAAGATGATTCTCTTTAGCAGCGTAACTGCCAAGTTGTGTACTTCTTGAGCTCGGCCTAAACAGGCCAGGATGGTCATCTCATACTGTCAACACGTAAACACGGCTTCTGCTTTCCACCCCAACCCCGTGCGGTCCAACAGGTCTGAACAAGGCCACGTTGGTTCATGGCGATGCTTTACCGGCCCCATCCCTTACCGCCCTTTCCCTTACCACCCCCTCCCCTAACCGCCCCTTCCCTTACCTCCCCCTTACCTTACAGCCCCCTTCCCTTACCGCCCTTTCCCTTACCACCCCCTCCCCTAACCGCCCCTTCCCTTACCGCCCCACCCTGGCCCGCTTCCCTTCTATACCTGCCGAGCATCTACGTTAAGTAGACCCGCATGGCTCCTTCTCCACTCCATCTGCAGGGTGGAGAACTCAAAGTCCTCCTACCCCTCCACTTCCCATCTCTCTCTCCCTCCCACTGCTGTCTGTCCAGTCGAGCTGACCTAATGATCAAACATTGATGTCCCCTGAGGATCTTCTACGCAGTGTACGCACCACAACACTGCGTGGCTGGGGAGGGGGTGGGGGCTGTGGCTCTTGTGTGGTGCCCCCCCCCCCCCCAACCCAGTGCGAAATAGTTTTCAAGCAGCGTCGAAACGCACTGTCGTGAGTTTGTATTGGACTTACTCTATAGAAATTTCGATTTACCT